GGGCCTATGGGGCCTATCCCTTGATTGTGTACAACTCGGTGATGGTTTCACAATCTTCAGACCTTGGTACAGCGGTTTTCCTTTTCCGGGGCCATTTTTCTACACTGACAGGGTCATTGGCGTTCAAAACTAATCCTTTCTGCCGGCTCGTAGTGGCTTCCCTTTGTACTGGTGTCGCACCCCTGGACCTCATTTTGAACAACCCAGTTAACGACAATCCCCCCCCAAAAAAAAGCGCCACCCTTAGATGCACGACTGAGATAATGACCAGGACACACATGTACTATCGACATCTTGTACAAATAGGCGCAATGTTTACATGAAGTGAATGAACCTGTGTGTGAGCAGCGCACTTGTTGTATCCAGGCTCGGGTTCTGATCTATCCTAGTCAAGTCTGACCTAGGCTCAAGGCCTTGATGTGCAAAGGTTGGCAACGCATGTACAAGACTGAGTTTATGATCTCGTTGTTTGAAGTGGTGTACAGGTGCTAACAGCTTTGCAGCAGCAACTGTGCTTCTACTATTTCGATGATCTGTGTACTGTATGCATCCAGCTTGATGTCTGAAGATATGTTTACCAGGTCTCACCTGTGTTGGAGGTTGATGTCTGCGATCACGGCCAATGTGTCTGCCTGGAGTGGGGCCATCAGGATATAATTGAGGTCTCCACTTCCGTTTTGTGCCAGGCCCATGTATTCAGAGTGTAGATCTTAGGCCGTACAGCTTTGCTCAGTCGCCGCGTTATGTGTTTGTTTGCTGAGTCGTAGAACTCTTGTGGTGGCTTCGTTACCAAGTTGTAAGGGATTGCTGCTGCATGTAGAAATGCTACACTAACATGTCTTGTGCAGACCGACCAGTTGTACACCAATGCCAGTGTGAGAAGTACTTTCAGGGTGCAAAGCAAAGGTGTACTTGCGAAGAGTACGTTGTGGTCTGCAACGGGTTCTGTGTAACCTTTCGCTACAGTCCGTGCTCGTACTTCATTGTGTTTTGGTTTGAGAACCCACCTTGACTTAATTATGTTTGCTTGTGTTGTTCTGGCTGCTGCCAGTCTCTGTGAAGACTGAATTTTCTTTCACTTGCTGTACTTCTTTCTTCATGCCTTGTGATACCAGTTGGATCCAAGCCTTTTGTGTTGTGTATGGTTGGTTCGGAAACAGTGCTTTTTTGCCTAGCCCTGGCGGGCTAACCCTGGCAGGTGGTTGGTTGGTTGGTTGGTTTGGTTTGTTTGGTTGGTTGGTTGGTTGGTTGGTTGGTTGGTTGGTTGGCGCCTCGGTAGGGCGAAGGTTTGGGATGGGTTCAGGGTAGAAGGCATGTCATCGTCCCAACATCCCCAGCATCGTTTTCGACATCCTTTGTTTTTGGTTGGGCTTAGGGTAGGTTTTCCAGGTTGGCTCAGCTCCGCCAGCGATGTTGAAAACGATGCTGAGGATGTTAAAACGATGCCAAGCCGGAGCCTACCCGAAAGGACTACCCTCAACCCGCCCCAAACCTTTGTTCGCTAGTGTCTCCTTTCGTGCGCGCCCGACTGTGCCAGGGTTAGGTTAATGCCAGGCTATGCAAAAAAAACACCTCAGCCTGGTTGGTCCTATCTCTCGTTGTGAGCTTGATGGCATTGATCCTCATCTACGTAGCCATTGCTGATGTTGGCTCTGCTGTCTTCTTTTGCTTTGTTTGCTGTTCACTCTGTTGTGCTGTGCTTACGCAGTCCAGCCAAAAGTTGCCGGTTGTGTTGCCTTGTGGCTCAATGTTTGGAAAATTTGACTGTGGGTTAGCATGTGCTGCACTCTCTCACCAAACTTGCAAGTGGTGGTTCCCTGCCCAACCTGTTGAAGTAGCTTGTCGACCCACTGCTGCGGGGTCGCATATCTGTTCATGGTGTTTGTGCTGTGTCGAACAATCCAGGGCATGAGTGGGTTTCCCACTGGTGTGTGTTTGTTGTAGTTCTGCCTCAACTGTATGGCCATGATCGTCCCAGGTTGGATGTCAAGTGCTGTGAGTATTGGATGTATGTTGATGTCACCAAAGCCGTTCATGTATCCAAAGTTGAGCTGCGTGATTGGAAGCTTGCCCTGTTGCTTTGGGCAAGTGCTTTGTCTTCCTCTCGCTTGTGTGCATGTTGGACACCAACTCCTGTAGGGAAGGTGTGTCACGTTGTGCTCCAGTATCTCTTGTGGTGTTGGTTGCTTTGGTGCTTGTACTACTTTTCCCTTTGCGCCTCTTTGTTGTTCCTAACCATAACCATCTGACTAGAGTTGTGTTGAAAATTCTGGTGTTCCTAGATCTTTTACCAATCTTGTGTTGCGCTCCTGTCCCATTGGTTGTACCTTTGTCTGTCGCCAAGGTGCAAGTTGCTTGATGTCTGGCCCTCGTGTCTGCTCTCATATGCAAAATGCTGCGCGTTCCAGTATGGGCCTTGTCTGCACCGAAGTCTTTTCCATAGTGTACTTCTGAAGGATGTGGAAGCACTTGCCCAGCTGCACCTTTGGTTGGTGTGTGATGCTGCTGAATCTTGTGCTGTTGGTGGTGTTGTCCTCTCTCTCAATCTTGTACGTGGGTTGTACTGAATCACTTGTGGTGTAGCGCGCTCTCCTTGGTTGTGTCGTTGTTGTTGTTTTTTGCTAGAAATGCTTCCCTTGTTGTTCTTCTGTAGTCCTCTAGCTGCTCTCGGGACTGGTCGCTGTGCTCTTGATGGTGTTCGCAGCGCCATGTGGTGTGAGCGCTGTAGTCGGTGCCGTCACGCCGATATGACCTTGGTGGTGTGCGTCGTGTGTCTCTAGCTGTGTTCCTGTTGGTAGTGCTGTGGCCTCTGCTTGTAGAAAGAACAGGCCATCTCTGCTCTCCAGTGTGCTGTTGAACTCTTTGTTGCGCTGTAGTCTTGGATTGTCATCACGTGTAAGTTGGAACCCTTGTCCCGCCAGCCTCGTAGCTGAAAGAGCTGGCAGTTTAACCTCACAAACGTAGGAAGATATGCCAATCTGTTGCCCGCTGTGGTTTGTCGTGCAAACCCATCTGTACCCGGGAAGCTTGCTGTGTTGTTCAGGTGTGGTCCTGTTCCATGTTCGAGTTGCTGTAGTCGAAACTGTGTTGCAAACCATGTTGGGCAAACATGTGTAGCCGCAACGCTGTCAACCATAAGGCTGACCATTTGTTGTCTTATGTGTGTTGTTGTGAGTGCCAAACATGGCAATTGTTACCTCTTGTCGTCCTCTGATGGACCTGCAGGCTGCGGTAGCACTAGCTGTTGTAGCTGTGTCTGATCCGGATGAGACAAGTTGTTGTCATAGTGTGCGCGGTTGTACCGGTCGTCTGTCTGGTCACTGGTGTCAGGGTTGCCAGCATCGCAATTGTAGATCGCCTGTCCTGGCTGCCCACATCTGTAGCAAACGCTTGTAGCACGCTTCCCATTGCTCCTTTGCCTCCATGTTGGTTGTTGCAGTATCCTTTCCCTTTTCCTTTGTTGCCGTATCCTTTTTCTTTGCCATACCCATGTTGTCCTTGGAACGGATGTCCTTGTCTAGCTTTTTCCTTTTTTGTTGTTGTAGTGGTGGTTATTCCCGTAGCCGCCGTAGCCTTTGCCTTTGTGATGCTTTCTTTTGCACTCTTTCCTTTACCTTTGTTGTACCATGTTGCTCCTATGTCCATTGGCGCTGGTCCTTGGTTGTTGCTGCTTGATGTGAGCGGCGATGTAAAACGGAGAGCAACTTGCAACCTGCTTGCCTGAAGTGAATGAACCTGTGCGCGAGCAGCGCGCTTGTTGGCTCGGGCGCTGATGTATCCTCGGGCTCAAGTCTGTACATAGGCTCAAGGCCTTGATGTGCAAAAAGGGGCAACGCATGTACAAGAGTGAATGTATCGCAACACATCTCCACATATGTATATATATGTATACATACATGCATTGTTTATTTTGTGTGTGTGTGTGTGTGGGGGTCTGTGTGTGTGTGTGCGTGTGGGTCTCTTTTGGGGCAGACCTGGTGCACAGGACCTGCAGGACCTGTGCCGTTCCACTTGAGCTCTCCACCTTTGGACCTGCGCGGAGTCATTGCACGAAGGGACAATTCTTCGCAAGGCCCAGGCGGTGCTTCCGAAAATTGGGGGCCCCACAACCACAAATTTGGGGTACTCTGGAATGATGTGCCAGTGGCTGTGGTTAGCTGAGCTGGAAGTTGGGCTCCCCAATGGCGGCCCAACTCTGGCGCTTTGAAGCAGAAGGTAAAGGTTGGGGGTTGCCAATTTTAGGAGCCGCTCAGTTTTTCGTCGGCTTGCCGAGCGCCGGGTAATTCGTTTTGGAATTTGTGCCAATGTGTCGCGACCTCTGGTGACCGAGCAGTGAGAAACATGCTAGAAGGCACCCGAGGGCGCTTCAGCGATGTGATCCTTCCAACACAATGCTTGGAAAACGCGCACGGCTGCGGACGGCTGTGGGTGTCATTCGCGCTTCGCTGATTTTAGTGTTGCATTGTAGCTCTTTGACCCACCATGGTGAAATGCGCCGGCTCAAGTTCCAAGCTGAAGAAGAAACCTTATTTCAGGCACCTTGGCAAATAGGCCAGACCAGCTAAGAATGCCATGATCCTCCACCTGTTGCACACGCACGCCTAGTTCCAACCCTGGTCCTGCCAAAAGGGGGCAAGGGGTGTACGTGGTTGCTATGCTCACGACATCAGAAACCCAACTGAAAAGCAAGTGCGCACATGCCGGTGTTGGCACAGGTGGCCAGCACAACAGAGCGCACCATTTTTGGACTGCTGGTTTTTGGAGTAAATTTGTACGCTCGAACATAGTTTCCTCAAGCTCCATCACCCCAAACCCTAAACCCTCCCATCCACCAACATGGAGCCTGACTGGGGGGTCCTGGAAGACTCCTTTCCTCAGTGAGAAACCCAATCCTAAGCCCCAGAAGCTTGAAAACAGCACTCCTCAGCCCCAAATCCTGTACCTTCACATAAAATCTTCAGATTCAAGAATTCCTTGAACCCCAGCTGAGTCCCTGGCCACTTCCCCCTGCGTCCTTCCTCGCGCCTTGGAAACCGGATCCTTCCATCCCATGGGCCGGGGATGGGCCGAACCGCTCATGGAGACCAACTTCGAGCCCACGGAGCTGCTGGGCCTGGAGGAGGCGAGCCGCGAAGGTTTGGCGCGAAGGCTTTTCGTTTTGGTGGGAGAGAGTGAGGATACGTTTTTTTTTTTTTTTTTTTTTTTTTTTTTTTTTTACCAATATATATATATAATATATATATATATACCAAAGAACATATACAGTCTATGACTTGGGCAAAACTCTAATACTCTAATCATGTATAGTTCCTGACAGTTTGCCCAAGGTGTTGAAGAAGGACCCAAATTGTGTCTGTTGTGGCAAAGGGTTGGAATCACTTTTGGAGGGGTTGTTGTACCGTTCCCTTGTTGCCGGGGCCTTGGCTTTCCTTCCAACCTCTTGATACTTACCCTTTGGCGAACATAAAGCCTGGGGTCGTTTACCCAGGGGGTATGTACAAACACGTCCAGCAAAGCAAATCCACTCAAGATATTTGTTTGTTTTGTAACCCATCCTGAAAGCGGAGAACACACAGACAGGCATGAGATTTGATTGGGGACCAATTTTAAGTACAATGAAGGTCCCTTACTTAGTAAGTTACTGAAGGATGTTTTGTTGTTGACGGTTTGTGCATGATAGACTTGTGAATGATAGTAATCTCTTCACCCTGATAAAAAAAAAGCCCCCCATTGAAATTGTGAGCTGGAGCGGAAGGATATTTATTAGTAGGGTACATGTCTTCTAGTTTCGAATTGGTTTTGCATTGATTTCGTCCTAGCTTAGTATTGTGGGGTGTTTGTTTGGTACTCCCCTGATGCACCACTTCCTCCAGAATGGTGCCGTTCTAAATTCTAGTGTGCAAGGGGTCCCCAACGCACCCAAAGGGTCCCCCAAACAGACAAATGCCCAAGTGTCAAGCCTGTGGGTTTGTCTCCAATGTTGGGATTCCTCAAAATGTGGAACGGTTTTCAAACACTTGCCAAAACTGATGAACTGCTATCCCTCCAATATTTATACGTTGGGTGTCCTTCTATGCAAAATCCGTCCAGTGGTGAGCAATAGTCCTTGGCGTGGTTTGCTTTGCTTTCCTTGAAGCCCGACATGGTCGGCCTTTTCCAGTTTTTGTGCTTCCAAAAAGTAACTGAGGGTGTCCGGGCAGAAATCCTTTAGGGAAGTGGGACACTCAGAGTGCGTTTTGCAGCATGTTGCAGCAAAGAACAGAGCCCAAGAGAACCATCGTTACCAAAACAAAGCAAAAAAGAGCACCACCGCCCTAAAGAAAGTCCTTTAGTGTCCAAACGGAAAAAAAGAAGGAACACAACAAAAAGACAACGCCGCGTGAGGACGCCGTGCGGGCCGTGCTGGAAGACTTGGCCTCCCTGGCGCCGGAGCGGGAGGTGGAGTCGAAGGCCTTCTCGGACTGCAGCTACGTCACCTGCAAGGCGCCGACCGGTGGCAAGTCCCCTTGCTCATTGCCGGGGGGGGAGAGGCTTTTGCCCCCCGCAAACCCCTTGTTCATGTAGTTTTTTGCTCGTAAGGGGGGGGGGGCGACCCCTCTAAAGTCAACCGGGATGTGGGCGTTCATTCGTTCATTGCGGGGAGGGCGGGGGGGGGGGTTGCTGGGGGGGGGGGAAAACCCCTGTCATGTTTTTTTGGCTCGGGGGGGGGGGAGTTCTGACACCGAGATGTGGGCTCCACTCACTCCAATTTGGGGGGGAGGGGGGGGAGTCTTGAGCAATGTGGCGGAACTAGCTGAGAAAGAGCTGGGTGCTGCCATGCTGAGCCCATGAAGTTGGGTGACTTCACGCGAAGACTCGCGTATGTCGAAATAGGCCCACCCCAAACAACCGTGGTTTTCTTCTTTTGATATGGAAGGGTGGGGGTGACTCAGTCAGTATCTTATGGACGTGTCCCATCCTGGAAGGGATCCATTGAACCTTTTTCCAACAGTTATCGAAGGGTTTGCAGGGGTGGGGTGGCATGGATGGGACGCGGATGGGATCCACAAAGGGGTGAGCTTAAGCAAAGCTTCCTCCAGACTACCCAAACTCTCAGGGTGGGTGGCAGTTCCTGTTTAGTCACGCCACTAGTATCCCGTGAAAGGGACACCAAGAGGATGCTGTTTGAAAAAATGGCTCAAGCAAGGAAAAACAGGAGTTTGGCCCCAATTCTGCAAGACTCATTCAGTTCTTAAGGAATCTCCCTAGGGGAAACAGACCTTTTGGTGGGTTCATCTTGATTCCTTTCCATTCCCTGTGTGCCCTTTGGAGACTTGTTTGCTCTCAGAGATCCTTGTAAGGGGTTGTTCCCCCCAAACAAACCTTACTGAGGCCTCAGGATGGCGGATCTTGGGGGGCCGGCCATGGACAATTGGTCTCTATGCAGGTGACCATAAGCCAATACCTTAAAGACGCGGGCCGGTGTTTGGGTTTCCATGGCTCGGGGTTCATTCCCCTCACGAGTTCGGGAGGGGCCGGGGGGGCGGCGGGGGTACTCGACAGGCCCTCGGCTTGCAAGTCCGGATCATGGGCAAGGCGGATGTGGCCTGGCCGTTCCAAGCCATACGTTAGACTTGAAGATTGTGCAGAGTTTGGAGTTGGCATAAAGCCGCCATGTTCCAGCAAGGGATCACTGAACCATCCAGGTGGTCTTCCTGTACAACGAGGGTCAGCAGGGCTTCACCCGCTATGCCGGCACCCTGCCAGAGGCGGCAGACTTCACCGGGTGTGAAATGTTGATGGTTGGGATATTCTCAATGGTGGGAGGCGATCAATTGCACTGTGTTTCTGAAGGGTTCAGCCAATCACAACATCATGATAGAAGTGCCTCAAACACGGATGGGGTTGGTTCGCTTCCCTTTAGCTTTCCTGAGAACCAATCCCAAAACAGGTACCCCAAAATACACGCCCTATAGTAGGGGTTCTTTAAAGAAGCCAGTTGCCGTGTGGTTCCCCTTTCCAAACCAAAGGCGGGGAATGTATCGGAGCGTTCACTGGAAGGAGCATCTTGCAACGGCGTCCTTTTTTGGTGTACGGGGGAAGTAGGGATGGTAGCAAAATCATGTGCTTGTACAACCACTTTGCCAGCAGGCTGCATCTCTGGGTTCACGGCTTGTCTGTAAGTTGAGCAGGGCTCAACGCCGTGGTGGCAAATTTGAGTCAGGGGGGTTGTCGCTTTGCATAGGGCGAGGCTTGCTTGATATCTGTTTGGGTAGAGCACCAAAAGTCAATGGGTTTTGGGCGCTGCTCAATTGGGCCAAAACAAATAGACCTGTAAGGCGTACAAAAACGCGGAGGTGCAGCTGCAGTTTTTTGCGGTATGGACCGTCGGTCAGAACACTACGGCGTGTCACGAGTTTGGTTTCGGGACAATCAGCAATTGGTTGCATTTTAAGGAGTTCTCGAAGGCCCTGTGGGAACCCTGCCAGGGACTGCAGTGGTCCCACCAGAGCAAGGATGTGACCCAGCTGCCCAGTACCTTTTTCTTTTCGCCTTTTGGAATGCTCGAATATCGGCCAAGAACAAGGGGTTGTTCCCCTTTTGCCCAAAAAGACCGCTGGGCCCGAGGTGATTTTGCTTCTGGGGGAGCCCTCTGACAAGTACGGGGGCGGGCGCTTCAGACCCGTGGGCATTAGCTACGAGACCTTGGGGCTGGACATTCAGTTCAAGGCGGGTGGTGGGCGGTGGCATTCCGCCAGACCGATGCTCGATGTTCGGCTGTTTTGTGCCATGGCCCGTGACCATAGTACGTAAGACCTGAGACTGCGGGGGTTTTGGAGGAGTCGAGAGCGTGGGTTTGTGGGGGGGATGGACATCAGCAGCACTCCAAGAAAGGAGGGAGCTTTGGGTGTCAGATTCGGAGGGGTTTCCAACGTGACCATGCGGGCTACCAAGAGAATGGCCTTGGGCCGATTGCCTGTTGTTGGGTCAGAGATTGCAGAGTTCCCTCATGTTGGTAAGCAAAGGGGGCGACAGAATCTTTATGCGCAACTTGTGGCGTCCACTATCATTTAGGTGTAAGTAGCATCATTTGGGAAAACCTTGATTCAAGTGCGAGGGTTGCGGCGCTTTGATAGCTCCTCATTTTGGGCCCCATGTCGAAGGGTCGGTGGCATGATGGGGGGGGGAACCTCTTTAGCTGGACTCCAAAGGAAAACCACAGGAAAACCTAAGGGATCCAGCCATTTGAGGTTTTGTCATTCTGTGATTTCAACAAAGACACCCATCTGGTGAATCTGAAGGGTTGGTTCCTCAATGTTACGAAATACCCAAATACTGGCTGACAGGAGAACAGTTGGGAGAACGAGCAGAACCCCATGGACTTCATCTCTGTCTTCCAGCGCCTGGATCCCTCGCATGGGCTGTGCGAGCCACTCGCCTTCTCGCAGCTTTGAGGTCGGGAATTCGGTCTGTTCGAAGCTCTAGGCTTCTCCCTACAACCCTGATGAGTCTCCACCCTTCAAACATGGGTCATGGCCCCATTTTGGAAGAGTCATGCTTTTAGGTGTTTGAAGGATGCTTGTGCTGGTTGTACAACTTCTTCATGTGGACAGGGGCATCGAGTATCCCTGGTTCCTTTCCACGTTTCGCAATCTGAGGTGGCGCAGCTTTGAGAAAGACGCCCCGTGCAGCTGACATTTGTCCAAAGAGTCCTGTTGATGTTGTCTTGCTTGCTCTAGGAGGTTTGACAAGGCCCCTGTACCAACCGCCATTGGCTTCTTGCATGAAACGGTGGACAGGTTGCTGGCCTTTCACCGGGCGAGAGGTGGGTTCGGAAGCTTTCGGTTTCTGAGCTTCAGTGTCCAAATCTCACCTTTTGACCCGCCTGAGGTCGCCGTTTTGCACATTTTGTGTCAAGAAGCTCAGCCCTTGCACGAGCCGTTTCACAGAAACACACCAACTGAAGGGCTCCCAAATAGGTTTACACCTTGCCCAGTGATTCCATATACCTGTATGATACGTACCCAAGTGAACCACCCTTTAATATCGACTGTAACACCGGGGAAAATGGCTGGTTACCTACTACAATGGCTTGCCTGCTGGTTTGGATGTTAAGGTTAAACTCTCTACCGTTTATGTGATTTTCCTATGTGTCAAACTAGGGGCACCCACTAAGTTGTGGATTGTCTTTTGATCCGGTCTCCCTCCTGAAAAGGGTAGCTGCTTCCTTCTCTTAGGCTCTGCGGGAAGAGGGCCTCCTTTCGCTGCGGGCTCTGCAAGTCCCAGCGCTACTGCAGCTCGGAGTGCCAGAAGAAGGACTGGGCAAAGCACCAGCAAGCGCCTTGGATCGCCTTCGGCTTGAGTTGCCCAGTGGCCCCGGGATTTTTGGAGGGGTTGGCTTCAGGCGGCTAGAGATTTGGATGGCCTGCTTTTTCCCGCCCGCTGGGCTTTTCAGAAGCGGGTTGTCAGGTTTTGGGGCTGGGAAGTCAAATGCGGGGACATGCTCAAATATGGTAGGACAGGACAAAACTATGTATATAAATTAAGTGATGTCCAAAGGGTCTCAAGGGGGCACACCACATCACCAGTCTCAACAAGGACCCCTGTTTTGGGCCCCTTCAGGTGCCTTCGCCGTGAAACAACCAGAGCCCTGGTCCGAACAGGATGCAAACAGAGGGGGTCAACCACCAAGAGAAAACACTGAAACAAAGGTGGCTTGAACATGTTGAGCGAGGAACCGGTTGCTTTGGGTGTCTCAGGGAGCTTTTTCAGTTCTAGCGTCCCTCTAAGAAGGTGACTTAATCAGTACGCTCTGATGGATCTTGGGGTGCTAACAAGGATGCTAGCCATGCTGAGGCGGACATAGATCCATGGCAATTCTGCGTTGAATAGCGGACACCAAAGGGCAACTTTCAGAGATGCCCAAACCTGGGTAGAACATAGGTGTTCGGGTTCCTTTGGCTTCGCGTCCAAAGTGCGACCAACTTGTGCCGCTCGATCCGGTCGAATTGGACCAGCTCCAAGGAATGCGCGGGCTACGCGGCTGCGAAGCGGCCGATATCGGGGGAGGGGGAGGAGCTGCTGTTGCCGCGGGTGCAGCAGGCATCACAGAGGCCAGGGGTCAGAACAGCTTACGCCGAAGTGGCAAGGCATTTTTAGGGATTCTCCATTGGGGTGTCCCTTTGAACTATGAGGGGAATTTTGAGGATGTTAATTGAATGGACTGAGAAAATGAAGGGATGTGCGGGAAGCCTAGTCCCTTAGCACTTCTACCCTGCTAGATTCCCTCATCCCTGCTTTCTCCGCATGCCTGCTGACTCATTTCCTGAAAGGGTTTCTTGAGGGAAAGAGGGGTCTTCAGATGCCCACATGTGGGTACCATCAAAAATTGAGTCTTGAGTCGCAATCAAAACTCAAGTTGATGAAGGTCAGAAGGGGCCCAACCAGAAATAGGTGCGGCTGCCCTTGATTCTGGACAATGAAGTGGTTAGACTTCTTGAGTGGTGAGTGTGGATACAGATGAAACCTGCCTGACTTGCGAGCGACTTGCGGTAAAACAAGATCACCGATGACGCCGGTCCCTTGCTTGGAGATCCCAAGCTCGAGGCCTGGATTTGTTTCGCGTGCTGGCCTTGCGATTCTTTGTAAACCACACGTAGATCAAATGATGGCCAATCAAATCCACGTGGGTTGATGCCATGTTTGAGGCAAACACTTCATGACCCAGGCCATTTCGCACGTCAGCTCTTTGGATTCCCTGGTCAATTCGAAGCCTCCAGGCAAGCGAGCGCAGCTGAGGCGGGCGGAAGTGGCGGCTAAAGACTGAGGCCCACGAGGCTACTTTTCAGTCATGGGGTTGTGAACCAGGCCGATGCGTGAAGAAAAGCCTCAATTCTGAGAGGGTCGGAGTGAATTGGGCATGTCTTGACATGGGTAACTCCCCTATCTAGCATGTCTGAACCCGAGAATTCCCTTTTATCTTGTGGTTGATGGTCTGGACAAGCGTGCTTTTCTGAAATGTATACCGTGATGGTAGTCTTCCAACACATAACTGTCCACAAGGCAAACATGTGATTTTCATCAACCAGAAGATGACGGGGGATTCCTGTGTTGAGGTCCTTATTCCAGGCTTATCCAGGGATGGCCCCTGCCCACACTACCCCTGCTGCCACCACGCTGCCAGGTGGCACTGGATGCCATGGATTGACCGACCCCGTTCAGTGAAAAAATGACAAAGACGCAGCCCGCAGAGCCCTGGGTCCATCAAAATGGTTTCATTTTCGCCGGTTCTCAACATCGCTTTTGGGGTGGGAAGCCCCCTTAATTTTGAGGCTCAATTCGAGGATGTCAATTCAATAGAGATCGCATTGCTGGCCTGGGCACCATGTTTCATGGCTTGGGCTTGTCGCACAATCTAGGCACCCCATGGACAGTTTCCCGTTGTCCATGTGAAAATCCCAAAAGAAGGTACACTCCAAACAGGCACGCGAAAAAGTGGAAAGTTGCATTCTCTTCGTCTGATTTCAATGTCTGGTTGCCTGCGAGCACATGGCGTTTGTTGGTGGGCTTTGCGGTTGTCAGACTTGAGAGCTGCATGGTAGCGGTAAAAGAGATCACAGTTGGGGCCCGATTTTCCTTTGAAGCACCATTTGTAAGTTCATGTTGAGGATGTCTGAATGGTCTCAGGGCTTCGAGAACTCAACAAGGCCTAGTCCGAACATTTGCACTGGAACTTGTAACGCCTTGGGGGTGCCATGTGGATGCATGTTTCTTTTTGGCGGCCTTCTTGGTTGGTTTCAAATTTCAAAGGGACACCAACAGGACGCCCTTGCCTTTTGGGGTCCCGGTCCCCCTACTTTTTATGCCTATGCTCTGGAATATGCCAAGTCAAAGTCTGGGAGTTTCAAGACATACCATGGATGATGTCAGAGATCTTTCGCTAGACATATCAACATGTACATATGCATACATAGACTAATATACATTTCACTTTAGACAAACAGATACATGTGTCTATATATTCTTCTTTGTACAGGGCTCATCGAGTCGATCTGATTTCCCCTCCGCCATGGCTCCGTCCGGAGACAGCTTGTGGAGTTTGTGGGAAGTAGAAGCACTGCAGGCCGGGGCCGGACTTTATGGGATGGCCGGTGGTTTCAGTTTGGTTGAAACTTCTTTGATGATAGCTACTGATATGAGAGCAATAGAGCATGATGCAACATGATACAACTGGTATACCCTAGAATGTCGGTTTTCGATTTGCCAGTAGCAGCATAGCTTTCAAACTGGACACTTGGGACGCTGCCGTGCAAGACAACACAAACGAGAGGGGTGCCCTTTAACTGGAACTGTTGGCATTTCCAGATGGCGTGAGGAAAAGCAAACAGAAACCAAGCAGTTGGTCGGGCCGCCCGACGGGGCCCATGGCCACTTTTTGAGGCAAAGTAAAGAAAAGCCAACCCTCAGTCTTTAGGGTCGGACCCGGAAGGGTACTAGTACTTCTATGCCATACAAATATGTGGCCCAATGTAGAACTCAACGAGTGACACAGTGGACGAAGGTCGGGGACACCACCGAACGATTTTCAGTGGATTGGGGCAGGGTCCAAAAGTGACTTTGGCAAACTCGCAGAACTCAGAGACAGAGACGAGGCGGCGCTCGAACCGCTATGTAGGCATTGTCTACAAGTGGTTGGCCCAACACGGAGTTTGGGCCCCTGAGATTTTGTTTCTGGTAGTCTTCCTCTGAAGAGTAGTGAACGTCTGAATAATTCGCATTTCCGTGGTATGTTGCTGTTGGGCCGCGTTCTTTGGAGAACATCCCCAAATGTGTGTTCCTGCTATGACATGGTGGTGAATGGTTTGGAGAACCCCTTGTTCGCCGGGTCAGGAACCATGGCCCGCTGAGAAATAAACCTCTGTTTATCAATGTGGGGGTGTCCCTGGTTTTAGTGAGGATTTATCACTTTGGAGGGGAACACACCCCCATATTAATAAACAGGGGTTTATTTCTCCGGGGTCAACATTACTGGTAGCTTGTGCCCCAACGTTATTTTTGGATAGCAGCCTTCTTTTGTAATGCATGCCTCCTATCTCTATAAGGCATATGATATCATGTTGCATATCATGGTACATGTGTACTCATTGAACATATTCATGCAACTGCCAAGAGACGCTGAGACCTCTCCAAACATAACCGGGGCCAAGATTCTTCCCCATTATCCTGCTGGAATTCCATGTGGTTGGCATGGGATGGTGGGCGGGGTTCGGGGCCCTGCTGACATTTGGTTCCGACTTTAAGGGAGGGAACCAACCAGGAAGATCTTCTGGTCAATCCCCCAAGAAGCTTCAGAGCCGCTAAAGAATGACAAACAAACAGAAGGGCAGAACAGTGTTCTGGTATCCTGTGTCCCTTGACTAGGCAAAAATTATCTACCTTCGTGGCGGGGATTTCGGACCAACCCGCTTCCTCAGGTGCCCGCCCTGCGGCTAAATACCCCATATAAAGATACAAAATATACATATTATATATATATATATATAGAGATGTTCCTTTTCACTTTTCCAGAAGGAAGCCCAACAAAAACAACGCAACCCAAGCCAACAACAAAAAGACTGCCCCGCCCTGGCTGGTTTCCTGGATGGTTGCCCCTTCCCCTTGAAGCAACCAACGCAACACAAAACAGCAAAGAAGCTGCCCCGCCCTCCTGGCTGGTTTCTGCCTTCAAGCAACCAACAAAAACAGGGCGCTGCATCTTTCCAGGTGGAAGACGCATTGCTGCGGCTGAAGCGTCAGCTGGCCCTGCAGCCCCCGCTGCTGGACCAGGCGGTCGCTGCCGCGCGGCGGCTGAGGCAACGTGCGGAGAGCTTCAAGGCGGCGAGGGCGAAGAGAGCGAGGGGCGAGCGCTACATGCTTTTTGACCTGGTTTCCTTTTGGTTTTCCCTTTGGGTCTTTCACCTTGTGATTTTTTTGGACCACTTCCATTTGGTCAAGGGGTTTGTGCTTCACAACGTTCAGAGGGCAGCTTGTGTGCATAAACGTGCGTATGTGTGTAAATAAATAAATAAATATATATATATATATATATGGTCGCCCCCCCCCCCAAGATCCACCCCCAGCTTTGGACACAGCCAAAACACTGCCAAAACACTGTAATTTACAGTGTTTTGAGCAGTTTTCAACTGTTTGAAGCAGATGAACAGCAAAACAGATTTCGTTTAGGTTTGATAATTTTTTGTCAGATGGGTTGATCCTGGACAAGATGTGATGCTGGCAGATGTCTTGGTTTGAGTAGGCATTTTCATATAGTATTTGCAGCAATTTTGAGCCGTAAGAAGGATAGGCAAGCAGAAGTTTGCAGATGATTTGTGATTGAAGTGTGTTGAACATGTTAAAAAAAAGCCTCCTTTTTATTGCATTTTCAGTTTGGGAAGATGAGGGTGCTCCAAAGTGCTGTGATGTCCCTATTTTTGTGTTTCCTTATCAAACAAATAGGGACAGTCCAGCACTTTGGAGATCCAAAATACTATACTGTACTGTCCCTATCCCAAACAAAAAAAACAATTATTTCAGAGTCTGGCATGGCCAAGAGCCTGAGACCTCCAAATTTTTATATGTTTTTCAGGTTTTTTAGGGACAGTGCAGCACTTTTGGCTCTCCAAAGCCCAAACATAGGGACAGTACAGCACTTTCGAGGTCAGGGTGCTCCAAAGTGCTGTACAGTCCCTATTTTTTGTGTTTCCAAATCAATAAAATAGGGGCAGTGCAGCACTTTGGAGATTAGGGTGTTCAAAGTGCTGTACTGTCCCTATTTTTGGTTTTGGAGAGCCAAAAGTGCTGCACTGTCCCTAAAAAACCTACAAAACCAGTTATTTGGAGGTCTCAGGCTCTTTGCCATGCAACGTGCAAGGACAATTCTATTGGAAAAGGAATTCCCGTGTAACATGTATGTTGAATTAGATTAAACATAATTTGAAATCTATTTTAACATATACAATTTGATTGGAGTCTTTCCTCAATAATTTCTAGTCAATTTCAGTCAGACATTGGGTAGAATTTGGTAAAGATATTAAGTAGATTTCAGAAGGAGATAATTCAGAGGTCAGAAATTGTCTTTTTTGGTGTTTACTAGCCCCAGAACTACCATGGTCAGAAAACACAGTAAAACACAGTGTTTTGTAGCGTTTTTCGTACTCAATTCACATCTCCACCAACGGCCGCTCTCTAAATTCAGTTTGAATTTGAATAGGATTTCAATAGGACTCAATAAGGAAATACTTGATCAGAATCCTACTGGAAGTTACATCTTACATTTAGAATTTAGATGTAAATCCTTGCCCAATAGAACATTACAATTTTAAATTCCAGGTTAAGCATAATTTGATAAGGAATGAATCCAATCACATTTTCTATTTCATAATATAATTTGAATTAGAATAATTCAAGTTTAATTGATAGTTTACACAGTATGTTCTTTCCGATCATTTTTTTTTAGAATTCAGCTGACATTTAAACACGCCTCAAACATAGTTCAACTCGAGTTTCCACTCAAAAAGTGGAAAAAAGCGCACGCTCGCAGCGTCCTGCTCTCAAAAGGAATTATATATATATATATATTCACACCCAAAAAGGATTTTGGACACCAAAATATACTCAAAACAGCCGCGAGCATGTGTATATATATATATATATGCATGTTATGTATACATATTTATATATATATATATATATATATATATATATATATATGTACATACAGTATATGCTTATGTTTGCGTGTACATGTACATGTGTGTGTATACTTTATGTGGTGTCAACGATTCACACGAAGCATTTTCCAGGGGGCTGTGAGCATGAGAAGTTGTTTCCCACTGAGCTGCCAGGGGAATAAGTCGTTGGGAAGGCTTGCCAATGGCAATGCCAGAAGTGGATGTCATTTTTCAGCACGTTCCACGTTCACCTCCAACATTGCAACTGAACCAAGCACATCCAATCACAAAGCCTCCGCAGTAACACACTGATAAGTATGCAGTTTCCAACCATGCTTGCTTACATTTAGGGCATCCACCATAGATTGGAAGGATGTACTTGGGCACTTGTTCCGAAAGATCTACAGAGCGTGTTTGGGCTCCAATGCATGTTGGGGAGACCTGTTTTTCGACCCCAACCTTCTGTTTATTGTCTGGAGTCCATCAACCATATGATGGATTGGAGCTGACAAACACAAATACATGAAACAACATCACTCGGAGGGCCCCTTTCTAGAAAGTTGTCAGTTTTGGGGTTGGAAAAACAATCCCCCTGGGCTGCGCCCAAAGCGTGCCCCGAGCAGTTTGCGCCACAGGACTGGGCGTGGGCCTCGCTGGCGGCCAAGGATCAGTCGCTGCAAAAGGCGGGCTACAGCGCGCTTCGGCCACAGGCGGGGGCTTCGCGGAACCGAGGCGGTTGCAAGCGCGGAAGGAAGCGGCTTGGAAAATGTGTGTAGACAACCAGAGCCGATGAAAGGAAACCAGAAGGAGGT